GAGCAAATTCTCGATCAAACTTAAATTGTTTGACTCTCGAAAAGCGAAATGTGTCACATAAATTGGGACAGAGAGAGTATATGTTTTCCCCATTTAAACTATAAAGTTATGGAACGTCTTGTAATTAAGGGCATCTCCAATCCTACACTCTATTTTACTCTCCAAATATAGAGTACTCTATTTTTTCAGACAACCAATTATCTATTTTACTCTCTAAAAAAAATCTCCTTCTCTCTCCTCAATATTATATTTTTATTTCTATTTCTATTTCATTTTCTTATTTCATAATATAAATCTGTTCTTTCTTTTTCAAAATAATCACCCTATATAATTTTCATGTAATATAAAATTATTACTTTTTTAATTCTTTATTTAATATAAAATTATATTTTATTGTAAATTTTAAAGAAAAATTGAAAAAAGAAATCAACAAGCACAACCGCAATCACAAACACAACAATTTTCTAGATGATACACTATCTTTTTTCCGAATATTTTTAAATCTAAAAACGACCTGCCGGATTACTAAATTATTGTTGTGAAAAACATTAAGTTATGTATTGTATTGTATTGTTATCTTGTATTTAAATTATTATGCCATGTATTGTATTTTTAAATTAAATTTTTCATTTTATCATTTAAATTTTGTGCATTCTTCGTAGTGAAAATCAATAATAATATCAAATTATCTCTTAAAGTGACGAAAATTGAAAAAAATATTTAAAATATTGTTAATTCGGGATGAAAGCAGTATATATTAAATAACATATTTTTTAAAGTGTTGTACTATATTTAAAAAGAATTACGAATATTATAAATTTATTTAATAAGCCTTATATGAAAAATAATATGTTAGTTACAAATAATAGAGATAATATTAAAATAATGAAAAAGTGAAATAGAGAGGTGAATAGTAATTCTCCAACTCTCTATAAATAGAGAATAGAGAGTTTTTTAGAGAGTGATTGGAGATTCAATTCTCTATTTTACTCTCTAAATATAGAGAATGGAGAGTAAAATAGAGTGGAGTTGGAGATGGTCTAAGTAATTAAGAAAAAGGGTAAAGTCGTTAGAAATTAATTAGGGTTTCTAAAGTGTATATATAGGGCTTTATTTTACCTTTTTTCCACCGTATTTGTCAATTCCCCTTTCAAGCAAAAAACATGGCCGCCACTGCTGACATATTCTCGGAATGTGTGATTCACAAAATACTCTGTTATCTTAGCTATGGCCAAGCATCCCGGATGAGAATTCTATCTAAAACATGGCTACAAGCTTGGTCGACTCTTCCGAACTTGGAATTCTTAGTTGAATATTTCGAAGAAACAAAAATAGTGGACGCAATTATGGAGACATACAGGGAAAACAAAATCCCCATTGACAAGTTTGGATTTTCAAATTGTTCGAAATTCAATCGTCGTCATCAAGTTTTCCCTCTGATTGATAAGTGGCTTGACACAGCTCTTCAAAATGGCGCAAGAGATTTAGTCTATGTAGATCTTCTCTACTCGGTACGATTATATCCTTTTCCTATTTCTAAAGTCTTGGCTGCAAATTCTTTAAGAGAATTGGTTCTGAAAGGTTGTAACCTTATGCATGTTTCGTCATCTAGTGGGTTCGCGAATTGTCATTCTTTGAGAAAGCTTTCTCTATCTTATATAATTTTAAGCAAAAATTTGCTTCAGACTTTACTTAATAGTTGTCCTTTCATCGTCTCTTTCAACCTTGATCATTGTTCGGGGTTGGTAAAGATTGAGCTTATGAATCTTCAAAAGATCAAGTCAGTTTCCGTATCAATAAATAGAAACCAACATGTGAAAATCCAAGCACCAACTCTTGAACACTTGTTTTATAATGGTTATTTATCGGGAAATTTGGTTATCGTTGGATGTCAGAATCTAAAATCTTTAGAGCTATCATATGTGAAGATATGTAATGGATTTCTCCATAACCTTATTTCTAGATCGCAATCCCTAGAAGTATTGAAGATTCAGTATTGTATGGGCATAAGACAGATTGAAACTTCGAATTTGGTATCACTTGAGTATATAGGATATCAAATTCCTGAACTTAAAATTGCGAAAGCTTCAAGTCAATTGAAGCATTCAAAAATCGTTCTTCATGGCAACAACAATTTAGATGCTGCATGGTTTAGTAAGTTGAGGAAGCTTCTATGGAATTCGGCCTCTTGGTCCCAAGTTCTCCTTTGTTTTCCCGAATACAATGAGATCAAGATTAAAGATTTGCAGCAGCACAACGGAGTTGCTTGCCCCCAGATGGACGTTTTAAATGTCAACATTACAAGGTCATATGGGGAGTGTCCAACATTTGTGGATGCTTTGCTATGGAGTTGTAATCCTAGGAGACTCAACCTATCATCAACGGTTGAAATGATTACATGTTTCGTCAGTCGTTTGATGTATATGAAGAATCTGAGTCATTCTTCTTCGGAAAGAAGCAACCCCTGGCATAGTCAATTGAAAGAAATCAAAGTTTTTGATGTGAAAAATCAAGAGCTGCAACTCGTAAGTGGGGAACTGGCGATAAGCACCCTTTCGGAGGACAGGAAGGAAGTTTATTTTTTATTAGATTGGCAATGCAATTAATTTATCACTATTTCAAAACGAATGCACTTGTTCATTCCTAAACTTTATTAATCTGTTTTATGTCTAGCTTTAAATACTTGCACTTTCTCACCATTGTATAAAATTGTGTTGAAGTTGAAGCATAAGATTCTTTATTCTGTCTTTCTCACCATTCTATAGTGAAATTCTTTCCTCTTGCATGTGCTATGGCCTAGTATAACGTCAACAAAATCAAATTTTACAAATGTGAAAGAACCTCTGATATCAGAAGTCTAAGTTATATCTATATGGAGCATAATTTTCTCTTTTCAACAAGGTACATACTTCAGAGGCCTCAAGAAGATTTTAATAGGCCTATCACGCTTATCAGTTGCATACGCACGCGACTACTTTTAGAAGACAGGACACTGTGAGATCTCTTATCTGAGTATATCTCAATTGATTCTGTGATTTTGAAGTACAACATATATAACACCTATAAGCCGGCCTCAGACTAGTATATCAAATCCAAGTGTCAGAAAAAGCTTTTAACAGGCAATTATTGATGACAAACGCATCATTTATCCACCAAATATAGCTTCTTAGTGTCTTGATGTTTCCAACTTTAATCACACTTGACATGACTATTCTTAAGAAAAATACTAATAAGGTACTAAACGGGAGAACTTAGATGTAGAGAGTACCTATGGGGTGGGTCTGATGTTAAGAAGAAGATGTCACTAGTTTCATGGAGTACACTGTATCTGCCTAAGAAGCTCGGAGGGCTAAATACCAAGGAATGCAGCTTATGGAACCTTGCATCTTGTTGATAAGTTGTTTTGGCAAGTAATTGTTAATAAGGACTCACTATGGGTTAAGTCAGTGCATGGCGTGTATATGAAAGAGGGAGAAGATGTCTGGAGACATAATGCTCCTGTAGATAGAAGCTGGTACTGGAGGAAGATACACTCCATGAAAGTAAAAATGTAAAGCTGGTATGCGCTAGATAGATACAGAATGACTAAGGAATGTGAATACTCAATCACAAGGAGCTATATTGATCTCAGAGGGCACCATAGCAGATCAACCGTTGCTGAATGTATTTGGAGAACATGTACAGACGGCTGAGATATACACACAAATTAAGAGGGTGATTTTAGATAGAATAGACATACTTAGTTCATCAAGAAAGCTTGTAAATGTTGTGGTTTCTTGCAAACGCTGCAAGTGTAATTAGTATTCGTGTTTTGTTGGAGACTCAAGGGCTCTTTGAGTGTATGTTTTTGTTCTCGTAATGTTAATGTTTACATGGTTACCATAAAAGTCTCAGGAATTTTATCCCCTAGTGATACCAAATTTGGATAATCAATAGTATCCAACATAAGACTAGACTCTTTCAAAACACAAAAATAAGTTCAGTGCTCGAGCGTTGGTGCTTGAGTTTTAATAAGCTGGTTTCTATCTTTCCAAATTAAAGTTGACTTGATCTTTAGAAGATTCAACAACTCAATCTTTTCCAACCCTGAACAATACTTAAAGATGAAACTAACAGTCAAGGGACAACTATTAAGTAGAGTTTGAAGCATGTTTTCATCTAAATGGACAGCAGTTAGATAAAGCTTTCACAATGATTGGCAGTTTACTATACCACATGGAAACGAAACGTGCTTCAAATTAAAACCACACAAAACCAGCTCTTTTGAAGATTTTGCTGTCAAGATTGTGAAAAATAGGCAAGGGGTACTATGAAAAGCTAGGAACTTTAAAGACGAGATCTTTTACACCATTATGCAGTGCAATGTCAAGCCACTTACAATGTAGGGGAACCAAAGTTCGATAATTCTAACTTTTCCATAACAATGCAAAGTCTCCACAACCACAAGAACCTGCAACTATCTTTATCTGTCAAATTTTCATGCTATCAGTAGGGCCAGAAGTCTGGTAAAAACTGTTGAAAACAAAGGAGCTCAAGTTTCATATCATCACGGGAGATCACTAGTACATAACATTCTGATTTGTCATGATCTGCTACGACATTACAATAGGAAAACCACCCCTCGGTGCATGATGAAGATCAACCTAAGGAAGGCATACAATATGGTGAGTTGGGAGTTCATAGAGGAAGCTTTGAAGGGTTATGGGTTTCCAGTTTCCTTTATTGGAATTGTGATGGCTTGTGTGACTTCCATCAAAGCTAATTGTGATAACTTTGGTTACTTTGAAGGGAAGAGGGGATTGAGGTAAGGTGACCCCCTATGTCTCCCTTACTCTTTGTGCTGGTCATGGCTTATCATCAGCTGGTGAATAAGATTGACAAGTCGAATTACTAGTGCATATGCTCAAACTCTGTCTTATGCAGGACGATTACAGGTGATAAATGCAGTCCTATTCTCCATATTAATGAACTTATGCATTACAATTTGGAATAGAGATAAATTAATTGCATGACCAATATAATAAAAAGCAAAACTTATCCTTAAGGTCCCTTATTGCCATCCTTTCACTTCCAAGTTCCACAGGATCACAATGCCATCTCTGGTTTTCCCAATCATATTTATCGGCTTTAACTTCTTTTAATTGACGATGCAAAGGCTTGTTGCTTCCATGAGAAGTAGAATGACTCGAGCTCATCATATGCATTAAAACGTCCATGAAACTTGCAATTGTTTCGCTAGTTGAATCAAGGACGAATCTCGTAGGATAACAACTCCATTGCAAATTAGCATCCATAAAAGTTGCAGGAAATTTAAATCCCTTATACTCCAATGACACCAAATTTGGAGCATCAATATCGAACATAGCAAACTCTTCCCCACCAGTAAAATAAGATAAATGTTCAAGAGATGGTGCTTGAATTTTAACAAGCTGTGTGCCAGATTTCCGAATAAAAACCGACTTGATCTTTGGAAGATTATTCAGTAGCTCAATCTTTTTCAACCAAGAACAATAATCTAAAATTAAGCTGTCAATAAAGGGACAACTATTAAGTAGAATCTGAAGCGTGTTGTCACCTAAACCTACCTGAGTTAGAGAAAGCTTTCTCAACGAATAGCAATTCACCACACCACTAGATAATGAAACACAGTACAAATCACAACCTGTTAATACTAATTCTCTTAAAGATTTTGTTGCCAAGATTGTTAGCATAGGCAATGGGTATGACGTAAGGTGGCTAGGAACTCGAAAGACAAGATCTTTTACACCATTCTGAAGTGCAATATCAAGCCACTTGTTAAACAGAGGGAAAACTTCATTAGAATAAACAGAGTATGATAAATCTAACTTTTCAATAGGGATTTTTCCATCTCGATATCTCTCCATGATATTATCCATTACTTTTTTCATATTGTGCTCGAGATAACCAAGTGAATAACTCAAGTTGGGAATAGTCAACCACGCTTGCAGCCATGTTTTAGAAAGAATACTCAACTGGGCTGCTCTCTTAAAACTATGCAGACACAGTATTTTATGAATAAGACATTGAGGCAATAAATCAGCCATTGCAGTAAGGGCGGCGATACTCAAATTCCTCCGAAAATTCAAAAAAAAAACTCTAATTCAGTTCACTGCAGACCGAAGAAACAAAAAAAATACTCAAATTAAGTACGCTGCAGACAAAAGATTGAAAGAGATACGTACATAAAGTTTGAGTTTAACTAAGTATCCACTGTCTGTGCATATTAGTTAAACTCTAAATAAAATAGTAGAGTAAATATAGAGTCCTAGTTGTCTTCTATAACTATTTTCCGTATTTATAATTTGAATATTAAAAAGTAAAAATAATTAAAACTTACATATAATAAGTTCTAAAGTGCTTGTTTGTATAAAAAATAGTTTCCACAATGGTGGATACTTTCTTTGTTTCTTTTACTTGTTCAATTTTGATTTTTTATTTGTGTTTTTAAAAAAGACAATATGGTTTACCTATTATATTCTCAGTTTATTTAGAGAATTAATGTTTTTTTTTAAAAGGTAGTGAATTGATTTTGAAATTCTATCAATTAATAGGGGTAAAATAGTAAATTTACTATGTCAATTATTAATTTCTTAATAGGTATGTCAAGTCAAAAATGAATAAGTAAATAGAAACAGAGAAAGTACTAACAGATTGATTGCCTGTAATAGGCTTCACAGTTATTGATTGTGTAAAACAATATTTACATCGTCGGTTATTGATTGTGTAAAATTAAGTAGGCGGTTGGCCATGCGATATTATATCATGATATGGAATCGTGAGATGAAATCAACATTTAGACATGCGATTTTACGTTGATTCCATCTCATGATTTCATATCATGAGATGGAATCACATATTCTCCAAAAAACATGATTTGTGTATTCATATCATGATTTGAGAATTTTTAAAAACAAAAATTGATCCACAAGTTTATATTTTGTTAAAACAAACCCACATTTATATCTACTAACCATTTATTTCATATGTAAATTAAATAAAATTAATAATCACATTATTACTTTTTAAAATTTCTTATTCTCACCTACATAAAATTTGTTATTACTTTAAATTTGGTGAATACAAATGATAAAGTAGGGATTGATTTAGTGAATATAAATAAGAACGGATGGACTAATATTTTTTTGTTTTTTCATAATAAAAAAAATTCTCTTTCGGCTACATATGAAAATGTTTGAAGCAATTTAATATGAAAAAAGACAAAATTGTTTGATGTATATTTGATAATCACTACTTCCAATATGTTTGATTTTAGTACGAAATTAATGCACTGAAAATGTGTAATTGCACACAAGTGAAACAAGGCATGAATCATTATTGACACACAAGTAAAAATTGTCATAATGTGTACAGTGTTACATAAATATTTGCGAGAATACCAAAGGAGTGATGAAATATTTATGGTCTATGAGCATGAAAATATAGTTGTGAATGATACTAACCAACAAATGGCTCAAAGTAATAATGTTGGTTCATCTTCTCGGATATATGATCGAGAAATGCTAGTTCAACGTGAGAAGATTGCTTGTACTATGTGGAAGGATTATATTAAAGACTAGTACACTATAATTTATGTTCAATTTTTTTTTATTGAATTAAAGTTAGATGAAACATTTACTTAAGTTGGAGAACAAATAGCTTTGTAATAATTTATTATGCGATTTTATAAATTTTTGTTTATGTGGTAAGATTAAATAAATAATTGGGGCTATTTTAATAGTTTTACAACTTATGAGAAAATATACAACACAAAAAAAAGTCATATCGCATGTTCAAACAAAACTTCAATTTCATCTCATAATTTCATATTATGATATCATATATATCATGATTCCATATCGTGTGACCAAACGGGTGTTTCTGTTGACACCCCAAGGTATAGAATGTTAAAAAAAAAAAGGAAAAATAGGCAAATATACTTCTAAACTTTGCAATGTAGAGCGGAGATATCTTTTGTTAAAAAATGGTGCATATATATATTTTGTCGTCTAATAAATAGTGCATAATATATAAATGTGTCATTTAACTTGATTTTAACTTGTATCTATGTCCTTTTAACTTTGAGTGTGCACAAGAGCGATTCAAAAAAATTGGTGGCCTAAAGGCAAACCTCTATGAGAGGCCTTAAATTTATTTGATAAAATTTTATATATTTTTATTCTAGTTATTGTTTTTGCATTGTAAAGATGGTTTATGGTCATGTTACCTAATTTTGTTACTCACTCTATTCTCTCAAATTTAAATAAATATTTGTATAAAAAAATATGTACTGACTGATGTTTTTATATATTCGCATAATTTAATAATCTCAAATTTGTACCATGCATTAAGTAGATGTTATAAACATGTGTATTACTATATAAGAAGAGTGAATAAAATTCACTCTTCTTTTGACACATGGCACCAAAAAAAAGGAGAGGGTTGAACATAAGTCTCAAGGTGAGGGTATTTTGGGTATTTCAAAATACCCTCACATTCACACTTATCTACTAAATTTTTTTTATATAAGTAGTAGATTTAAATATATTTAAAAATAATATAAGTAATACTATACATTACAATAATTAATAGCTTAAATATTTAAAAGTTATATAAAAAATATAATTGACTCTCTAAATTCTATTGGTACCACATAAAATGGATTATATGATAAACGTATATTGTTTGAAATTGACGAAAAAGAAACTATAAATTACAATAATTAACAAAAAATTTCCCTCGACTCCAACAAATCTATCAATTAATGCCACATAAATTGGGACATGGGAAATAACATATATTCTTTAAAAATTAAGTTCAAAATGTACTATAAAATACAATAATTAACAACTTAATATAATAAAGAGACATATAAAAAATATTTAATATTTGAAATTTTGCATGTGCCACATAAATTAGAACAAAGAGAGTAATAAATATTATTTTCAAAATTCTGTAAAAAAAGGTACTACAAATCACAATAGCTAACAATTTAAAATATTTTTACAATCATATAAAAATTTCAATAACTTCTCAAATTTCATAATATATGACATAAGAAGAGGGAATAACCAATATATTTATAAAAATAAATGACATATAAAATGAAATGGAGAGAGTATTAGTTTTTGAAAATGGAAAAGGACAAAACACATATAAAATTAAAACACATATAAAAAAAAAAGTTGGTTTAACTCTCAAACATAAAAAGTAACATATGTTATTAAAAACTTTAATAAAAAGTACTATAATTTACAATAAATAATAACTTAAAATATCTACAAGACAACAAAAAAAAGACTAATTTTTGTACTGCTTGTGTCACATATATTAGGATTGGGATGATTTTAAAATTTTAATTTTGGTTATACATTATAAAATAGCCGAAAAATTGAATGATATAATTTTTTTTAAAATAACCGAATGAATCGTCCTATCGATAACCCTAATGTTACTTCTACTCTGTTTATTTTTACTTAAATTTAGAAAGATATGCTTCATTTCTACCCTCAATCTTATCGCTACATTTATTTGCTATTTAAAATTGAAATTAAAAAGACAAATGACAAATAAGTTTCTATATTAGCTCACTTATGAGCAAAATATATTATAACAATCTTTACTAATTTTATAACAATACATAAACCAAATGAATCGTCCTATCGATAACACTAATGTTACTTCTACTCTGTTTATTTTTACTTAAATTTAGAAAGATATGCTTCATTTCTACCCTCAATCTTATCGCTACATTTATTTGCTATTTAAAATTGAAATTAAAAAGACAAATGACAAATAAGTTTCTATATTAGCTCACTTATGAGCAAAATATATTATAACAATCTTTACTAATTTTATAACAATACATAAACTATACTCCCTCCGTCCCATATTAGATGGGCACTTCCAACTTTACACGGTGATTAAGAAATCATTAATACATTGGAAGACTTCACCATTTTGCCCTTTCTTTATATCAATGCACATTGAAATGAGTTACAAAAAATACACATACAATATAGGAATGGTCATATTAATTGTAGGGGTAAAATGGAAAAGAATTAATTAATTCTATCCTAATTTAATAAGAGCTCAAATAATATGTAAAATGGAAAAGAATTAATTAATTCTATCCTAATTTAATAAGTGCTCAAATAATATGAAAAATAAAAATTTAGTAAGATTCTCATCTAATATGGGACGGAGAGAATAACAATATAACTTTATTAATGTTGGGCCCGGGCAGCGCCCGGGCTTTCGTTACTAGTATCTATATATGTGAGAATAATTAAATTAATAAAGTGGCGGAAATATATGCAATAAAGTGGAGTTTTTGTGTAATGATAGAAAATGTATGTTACTTACTAGTTCAGTTAATGCTACTATTAAGGGAGAAAACAAAGAGCTGAATTGAAGATCACTAACAATGAATAAAACGCATTCCTTGGAATGCGATTAAAAAACAATTTGAAATTTTCAAAATATATCGTTCAACATAAAATATTACGTCACGTATCTCAATATATAATATTATATATACTATTTGAATATATAATAAGGGTATAATACCTATCTATCTCTATATATCGATTAAAAAAAGTGTATAACTATGAATTGGACGAACTTTTTATGTAAAAATCTCTTTTAAACTACTATATATACAAAAACTTGCAACAAATACTTATTCCACAAATTTCAGTACACATACAGACCACAGTTACTATATCAACATAATTTCCGTAACATTTTAAAATTAAAATACTGCTTACATTATTATTATTTTTTTGACAATATAACAAAACTTGCTATTTTTTGCGAATTTGAGCGCTTTTAACTGCCGTAGATATTTGACACATCGCCGTTCACAATTAAGAGGGAACGATATTATCGGACTCCGGTGGAACAGGTGTTTTCACTTCAGCACCATGAGGTTGTCGCACTTTTGACTTGGAACTTTGCTGAGGTATAGCTGCCCCGGAACCATACGGGCCGCCCCGGTATTGTGTTGTCTTCGGAGTCGGGTCGTCGTTCGGAGCGCTAGGGATTT